AGATCAGTTCTCTATTGAACTGTTAGGTTATTAAACAGTTTTGTTTAATCCGTCAACTTAAACCATTTAAAATTTATAATTGTAATGCTGATCAAGAAATTATTTGATACTCTAACCTTAAAAAAAAGTTGTGTCATTAAAGTTTTAAATTACTTGACCATAAACTTCTTTTAGTTTCCGTATTCTTAATGCGACCAACTTATACTTCTAACACTTTTTGTAGCAATAGGAAATATCCAAGAATACTAAATTCTTTTAAGTTCAAGACTTCCTTAATGTCACTTATAGATGTACTTATCTTTAGGCGGTCAAAGTCTCTAACTGTTTGCATGTAGTTTCAGTATTTAATTTAACTCTTATAATTAAATTTTATGACAAATTTTTCTTAACAGTTAAACCTGATTTTCTGTTCACTACATTCATATTTTTTGTATGTTGATATTTTTTGCTTAATTCACCAGGTACATACATATACCAGCCTATCCAAATGTGTGTATCCAAATCGGCCTGATTTCCAATTTGGATAGTCTGAGTTTGACTGTAAAGCTTTTAAGGAAAATGGATTCGTACTATGTATACTTCTATTCTTCTTGTAAAACAACTTCAACAAATCAAGACTTTAGCTGCTTAAGTTTTTTTGTTGATATGATCATGAATGATGGTTGTAATCAATAAGTAGCAAGATCAATAGCAGGTATAGACTTGGTGATATAAGCAACTCATGTTTGTTGATAACATCTTTGATAAGAGTGGAGCACTGACACAAGAACATTCACTTGTTATTGACTGTAATAAAGTCAGATGTTATTTCCTGATTGATTTTTACCTCTGTTAGAAAATCCATTTTTTTGTATTTTTTATTGCAAAACGTTTTTCATTTTCTAATATTTGCAAAGTCAGATGTATGTTAGTAGGTTTTTCTAAGCTATCTATATGATCTCCATAAAACTTTTGGTAACTGTTCTATATGCCGAGGAAGCTCATCGACAAATTCCTTAGGGCTCCATTTTCTGGGGTTTCAAAGTTACTGTACCTTGTTAAGCTTATGAGAACTATTCTTCTGTTTTTATACTACTGTACTGTGAGAGGAATAAACTTTTGGACCTTCTATGTCAACATTCATTCAACAATTTTGGTATTTTTATTTCCAATAAAAAATTAGCGAGATATCGTTTAATTAATATGGATACTATGATACCATTAACAGAGCAAGTTGTAGTTTTCATCATGTAATAAAATAAAGCAAAGAATGATTAGATGTTACAAAAAAAAAGTGTGTTTTCACTACACTATGATGTTTTTAGCCGTTTTACATACGTTAATTGGTGGCTGAAAGCTACGTTTTGCTGGCCATGCCAGCTGTCATTGTCATTTGGGGACCGAGCAGGTCTTTACATCCCTAGGGCCGCAAAATCAGCTGCCTGCTTACTTTCTTAAAACATGAATGCATATTAAATACACAATCCATAGCATTGCAATAGAATAGTTTTATGGTCACCGCTGCCTAGCTACTATTTATTAATATTTTTGCTGATTCCTCAAATTATTTCTTCACACCATAACCTTAAAGTTGTAGTTGTGTTGACTATCAATGTGCATTATTATTGTGGAGAATAATGGTAATAGGGTATAGTGTGGTGAAAAATAGCGTTCCTACCACAGACCGAAATGGTTTTGCAGCTCTCGATCTTTTAAAAGCTGTCTCGAGCCGGCAAAACCTCATTTTCGGCCCTAGGTACAAAATATACTATTGTCATCTTTGTTTAACCCAAACTCCAAAAAGAATTTTTGATGTGCATTAAAACAACATTAGATAATAACATAAATGAAATGGATTGTTTGTTTATGGAAATGCTTGCTAGGGTTTAAAATGTTGGAAAAACAGCAAACATTAGTTGTAGTCGAGCCTTTGTTTTTATAATAATCCTGGATTTAAGTTTTGATTTTTTAAACTATGAACCTCTTTTATAAAAAAAAAAAAAAATTAAATAAGCAACTTTAAATTGTAGGCTGAAGTATGCTCTACGAAGGTACTGTATTCTTGTACAGATCTATTCTAAATATTAAAACATCTTGATTTAACCAATTAAAATACTATATAAGAAGATGCATTCAGTTTTATTGCTTGTTACCTTGCATTGTTCATTCAATGATTCATACATTCCATATTGCCTATGTCATCGCTCTGCTGTGCATAGTATTGATTTTGCAGTTCAGTTCTATACAAATATAAATTATATTGATTGTTTCTTACTGTGAAAGTTCCAAAACTATTTTATATCTATTTTAAAGTAATTTACTAACACTGAGTATCCATTGTGTAAGCTCTAAAACTAGTAATTTGTAAAAATATAAATCTTTGGTAGTAATTTTAACAACATGATCTGGTAAAAGAAGAAAAACTCTAAAATCAGGAATTTGTAAAGAATGTAAATCCATGCCCATTTATAATTTTAACAAATATATTGAAGCATGACAGATGAAAAGCTCTAAAACCAGGAATTCATTAAAATACTCGTATAAATCTGTGCTCTTTTATAATTTTAACAAACTTACTAAAGCATGAGCTAGTAACAGAAGAAAAGCTCTAAAACTTGGAATTTGTAAAACTATAAAATCCAAGCTCATGATTTTAACAAACATTATAAAGCCTGAGCTGGTAATGGCAGAAAATCTAAAAAATGGGAATATTTATAATTTCAACTTATAAATTTAATTATAAACTTTTAGTTATGCTCATAATTAAAGCAAGAGCTAGTAACAGCAAAAACAACTTTAGTAGAACTGGTAGAACCAAAACTGTTCATCTGTTTTCTAAGGCACATGTTACGAATGAAAGACTGAATGGCCTTGTTATCAGCTGATTTTTGTCAAGGTCTTTAGACAAGACTGTCACAGCTTTGGTTGTGTCCATTAAGATAAGCTTGCATCTCTGGTATTCCGTTAGAGTTTAATTTGTTTCAAATTGCACAAAAACTGTGTGATTAAGTTTAAATAGTTTATCAGTATATTATTTTATCTAAAAAGTGTTATTCTTGGTGATCGGTTTGTTTATAACTTTGTAATTAGACTGGAATCTATAAACATGACGGAAACTTTTCTATCTAGCAAGGTGGTTTCTGTAGTTAGTGCTGTAAGTTTTTTTTTTTAATTACTGCTAATTAAATAGAAGTCTAAACTTAGGTGTTTTTTACGTTAAGTTATGAATATGGGTTAATTTCCAAGAGATTTAAGTTTTTGATATGTTTTATCTAAATGCTTCATAGAATATCTCATTAAATGAAGAGAAATCTTTTTTTACACAAACTATATTACATTTAAACCTTTTTAAACAATAATACAAATTAATTTTCCAATTTGTCTATCTATCTAAAAATTAATAAGCAAGCATGTCTCTTTAAAACAATTTTTCTAAACTTGTGTGCAGAGAAAATCTACGCATACTGTTGGAAAGATATTTTCCTGTAGATGTGCAGAACCCTTCATAAATTAAAATAAGCTAAAAAATAAACCCAAAAAAATAAATTAAAAATAATTAACATGGGTTGCCATGCTGGTGACGAAATAACAACGCAATAAAAACAGAAAATCAAAACAAATGCAAGAAATTCCAATCACATGTTTATGTTTTATTTACAGATAGGGTGAAAATAGAGAAGTCTGTACATTACATATTATCGGTTGAATTTTTGACTATCGGACAACCTCTAGTATAAATAAAATTACAGTTTTGTCTGTATGTTGCGTATAATTATGAAGTTTTTGTTATTTTTTCGTTTCATAGCCTAAGAAAGTCAAAATGAGTCTTTATCTCTATTTCTGTCTGTCATTTTGTGTGTGGCACCAAAATACCAATAATTAAAGTATTCTCTTGTTTGATAAATTGTTTTGTAAACATTTTTGCTAAAAATATTCCCATTGACGTAAATTGTGATAGAGGACAGATGACGACCTTTATCGATCACCCATGGTCTGTGTATTTGGTTAGCAAGGCAAAGGCTTCTTGTAAACGGATTGTTGAAGCCGTACCTGTGCGCTTTCACGTTGTGCGACACTTATTGTTGTTCGTATCGGCCGCAACCTGGTGGTCCCCTACAAGAAAGTGTTGTACCTAAAACAGTTTAGCGGCTCTGAAAAGGTATGGTTACGGTATTTCATTTTCGAAACTTGATGGTTTGGTTTTAGTAGTTTTTTTATTGTAGCTCTCAATTGTACATTTATTTTGATGTCAAGTTGGGTTGAGTATTTGTAAAATGTTTAAAACGTCAGGATTGTAAATTTAATTTTCATCGTGATTCTGTTGGTAAGGGGTCAAAAAATGCTTTAAGCCTGTGTGCTGAACTATTTTTTTTTTGTCGTACAGCATCATTAACTGACTAGGTTATAAAAGACATATTTTTGCACTACTGTAATTTCTGTTAGGATTGTGTTAGTATGTAATGTGTAGTGTAGCCCTGATGCAATGTACTGACTATACCTATTGAATTGATATTTAAAACACGCAAAGGCAAAAGCAATGAATTAGGCATTGAAAGTAATTTAAGGAAACGACATATAACAATAAATTTGTCCTCAAAGGAGATCAAAATATCTGTTTAATATATAACGAGCTTCTAAAGTTTACGAAGTTTCGGTCGACATAGTAAATAATACTTTAGCTCTATATACGCTTTAAAGCACAGTAATTAAAGATGTCATCACAGAGATGTAGTCTATCATATCAGTTGCTGATTTTAACTTATCAGTATAAATTAACCACTTCCTTTCCTCTCTTATTCCTACTTAGATTTCTTTTTCTCCAACTTTCTTACTGAATATTACTTACATAACTGAATGTTATTTTAATTTTGATATACTTATCAATCAGGATTTAATCATAGCACAGTATTATGGTTCTGACAAGACATGCGTTGCAAAATAATGTATTTATTGGCACAAAACACGAAAGTTTTCTTATTTAAAATCTGAAATTTGACCACAAAGCGTGATTTCTGTTTCAGACCTACCCTTAAGGTGATGCCAGAGTGCAAATGAATCTCAATTTTGCCCTTGCTTCTTCCATACCAAGAACAGCCAAAGCCAAACCAAAGGTATCAAAACATTGATTTAAACACAAATAACTGCAGGAGGCACAACACTGTTTTCTAACTAATTTTTTCCAACTAAAGATCTGTTTTATAATATTGTTATTCTAGGTCCACAGACAACATTTTAATTTATTAAGCTGGAAGTTGATGTTCTTATAAGATCCAATTTTACTCCATTAAGGTCAAATCAATTTCTATAAGTACTATAAAATCTTAAATTTGGTATGTACAAAAATATTGATGACGCTTAAAGAACATCGTCCATAGCTGAAAGGTTTGAGGTCTATTAAACATAAACAATATTATATTATATTATTAATACTAAACAATATCAAAAACATTTAATAATTTATTCAATACATATTTTAAAGTGTAACTAATTTCACTTGAAGCTACAAGTATATACAGTTCAAAACCAAAGCCAAAATTAACACTTTTGATTTATGGATATGAAATTGGTCCATAAAGTCTTTGTTATCAGACAGGACTTAATATTATTTCTAAATAACTAGTATTTTCTAAAATTTAAATGGAACCTGGTTAGATAATAATCCAACAATTTATAAAAAAAATGAGAAAAGTAGAAATAAATATTTTAAATAATAAAAAAATATGTTTTTTTACAGTTGTGCCTTTTGCCAGGCTGGTCTGCACGATGTGTTGTGTCAATCAATCTTCTTTTTTACGTGTGCTTTATTAATTAACCATTTGATAGTAACACAATTGATTTTCAAGTGTCTACAGAACACATGCAAATCAATATTATTTAAACTCCACAAAAACACACAGTTTTTTGACAGTTAGCAATACTTAAAAGTTCCAATTAAATTTAAAAAGTATATTCTTTGATTTGGCAACAGTTTGGTTTTCAATGTAATATAGATTAACATAGTTTTTTTTTTTTTTTATAAAGAAATTTTAATTTCTCATCTTAAGATTTTTCTTTAACAGTAACCTAGCTGATAATGTACTTACATTGATTAAGAAAAAGCTTTAAAGTCTATTAACTTAAATTATATACATAGAACATTTATATTCAAATTTATATTTATCAAAAAACCTTATACCAATACCTTATACATTCACTTTTCAAGTCTACCTCTTCAAAAATAGCTTTTTCAACACTAAAAACATCTAAACTATGCAGACTTTTTTTGTGCTTAAGTCATTGTTTTGGTACTTTCCTAAAAAATAACAACAACAAAAATAGATGTTGAATTGTTATCAAAACTATAGGTAGCTTAAAGTGTTCTATGATTCCCAAGTTTAAAAAGAAATCGGGTTTATCAAGCACTGTTCTACGTTGTTGTAGTTTACTTCTCCAGTAGTGAAAAATAACTAGTAAAAGATTATCCCAGAATTATTTCTCATAATAGGAATTTCATTAAAATCTCTCTCTATTATGCAAGTGACTTTTTGAAAAGTATGAAAGTTGTAGCAAATCAAATTTACCGTTACATAAACATTTAACTGATAAATCCTCAAATTATATTTGTAAAACTTTTTCTCTTTTACCAGCTTTACAATGACTTCTCTGTGCTTAGGGAATTATTTTTCTTTCACACATACATTTTGGCTTTGACTTCTTAAGCCGGGTTTTCCTAGACGCGGAAGAGGAGGGCGGAGAGCAGAAAAACGATTGACATGGGATTCCGATCCGCTTCTAGGAAAACAGTAACATTAATTTACCTAAGACAAGTGGAGTCCGCTCTCCGTGTTCCTCCGCGCTCCACTTCCGCGCCTAGGAAAACCCAGCTTTACTCTACTGTTGATCTAATATTTATAATTCCCCTGACCCCTCTTTTTTCCCTGATATCAAATGGTAACAGTTTCTCAATGTTTTGTTGTGGTTTGAATTTTATTTTGCAAAAGTAGTTTATATATGTTTAAATGATGTATTATTTATTTTGCAGCCCTGTGGATGTGAATTTTAAAGCTTTTATAGCTTGCATTAGCGATTGTTATATGAGTTAAATCTTTCAGCCCCACAGCTGGTTATCGGCCTTCTAGAGCAACATAAACACGTCACTTACGACTCCACAAACCGATAAGAGCTGTACCCAATATGTTAAGGTTTTGTGTACAACTCAAAAGGCTCTTTAATCTCATTCATTTTCCCAGAGAAGAGAGTGTAAAATGCCATTTTGAGTGTTACAGACGGACAGTCAGACAGAAATTAAGATAACATGCGTTTCGGCTTTCCTATTGTATGAAATGGAAAAATAACCGAAACATTTTTGATTCCATGCAATGTACAGACAAAACTCTAATTTTATTTATATAGATATATTTATATATATTTTTTTTTTGCTTGTTGGGTTTGTTTGTTTGAGGTTTTTGCCGAAGCAATCTCGACACCTAGAAGCATCGGTCCACCCGTTATATGTGTCCGTTAGCACAATAACTCAAGCAAAAATTATCCGATTTTGATGAAATTAGGTATAAACATGTAAACCTACATTTATTCGAACCAGCATGATTGGACTACAGGAACGGGTGTTTATGGGGGATTTTATGGGGTAAAAATTGGTTTTTCCCATTTTTGACCCTAAAAACAAAAAAAAATCTGCAAATTCTTACCAAACCATATTGTAGAGCTTAAAAAACAAATAACTTAGTACTAAGTGTTACTATGCGCCTAATGGTTAGCGAGAAAATTCCAAAATATTATAAATTAAAAATTCCTATGTTATTCTTACGGAGAAAAGTAAACTGTTGTAGTTTGCTTGTTTATGAACATATTTTGATCTAATTTGGAAAATGCATTTATTTCATACTAGCTGTACCCGCGGGCTTTGCCCCGTTTAACTTCTTAATTTTCAAGATGATCTCGTTCGCATGGCTCAATCACGTCCTGGTTGAAGTTCGTTCGCTACGCTCACTCACCTTTAGGTTGGAGCTCGTTCGCTGCGCTCACTTGCCTTCAGGTTAGCTCGTTCGCTACGCTAACTCGTCTCCAGGTTGAAGTTCGTTCGCTACGCTCACTCACCTTTTGGTTGCAAATTAGCTGTTGTCATAAATTAAAATAAATAATAGTGCTGCACCCTGTTGGTAATCATTGTAACTTTAATGCAATTGAACATCATAGAACAGAACCAACTTGTTTAATTGAAACAGCTGTTAAGATTCATTAATTCCTTTTAAATATGAAAAATCATAAGGCTAACATGGGAAACTCCAGAGCCACTGGGGCGGAGCCCGAGAGTCCGATCAGAATAAAAACAACTTAGTTTTCCTATTTAATGCCTAAAGAATCAATGTACCAAATTTCAGCCTCCTAGGTAAATGGGAAGTGGGAGAATTAGTGATAAGTGTGTCAGTGAGTCAGTGAGGGCTTTGCCTTTTATAAGTATAGAAGATTAAACTATTAACATTTTACAAAAAAAAACATTTCTTTACCCTCCCTGTTGCAGCAAACCCAAGTACTTGTTAAACTATTTAAATATGGATTAAATGTAAATTTTTAAGGAGACATTTTAGTGTAAATTCAATCAGGCAAATGGAAATTCGCCTAGTCTGCAGGTTTGCTGCGGCGGGGGTATTTTATGATTGAACCAGCAACTATAATTATGAAAGCTGACTGATTGGTGGGTTATTTGTGACATGATTCTTAATTATTTAGTCATTTTGCTAGTTTTTACTCACCCTTGTGTAACTTATGTGTTTAACAAAACCTCCTAGATATTAATTTTGAAATTTTAGTAATAAAGATGAGATAAATAAGCGGCTCAAAGAATTTAAAAATTATCTTTTATTTATCTCATAATAACTTATAAAATAATTAAGTTAGTTTGTAATCAAAAAATCTTTTGCTTACGACAGTAAAGATTTTTGAGGTTTTTAAAAAATCAGTTCATATGAAGCACTACTAGTTCATTGTTATAAAATAAACTATGAAACATTTCCTTGTAATTGATTATTAGTCATTGTTTCCTAGCCACAATTCATTCATTAGATAGTGTGACCTTAACTGTATTTGTTATCACTGTTAATATTTCCAACTGTAAAGGCGTGAATCGTATTCCAAAGTTCTACCTAGTTGTATGTAAGTAATTAGCAATATTATAATTTGACTCTGAATTAATTAGGTTCTAAAGATTACTGTAGTAAATGTTATGTGACTATCCTCACATGTAGGCATCACATCCTATTATAAAATCTGCAGCTCATGATTAGTGTTTCATGTTTGGTAACACTTGTGTGTATTAATGTCAACTGTAGGGGTGAGTTGGCTGGTCTAGTGGTAGAGCGCAAGATCTCGGTCCCTGAGACCCTGAATTCAAATCACCAATGGATTTTATGCAAGTGATGATAATGCTGCAATGTAATCTAGCCTGACGTAATGTAAAAAAAATTTATGCTGTTTCTATTTTAGGGTGAATTTGACCCCCCCCCCCTCCTTAGCTATTAGTTATTCCAGAGGCCGAGAAATTTAAAAAAATAGACCGTTCTTTTTTATGTAACTTGAATAATGAGAAATAAACAGACAACATCAAACTTCAGCAAAACCAAAATGAACTCTATCATGTGTTTAATTAATTATACTACTATGGTGTACAACTTGGCCCCCTTATATATATAGTCTAAAGTCGCACCTTGTCCCTCATGTTTAGTAGTATAAGCCCTGAAGATAGCCAACAGCAACCAGGCCAAGTCATGTTGGGGATGACTACAAGTGTTATTAATGTGACCGTGTGTTTCTTCTAGGCTTTGGATGTTCTTAACTTTGAAGATGTGAATTTTGTTTTCAGATGAAAAGACAAAGAGAAGGGATGCAGGTCAACGTCGCAGGTTTACGACGGAACATCATGAACCTGGCTCACAACTACTCTGGAGCCCAGGTATACATCTCCACTAAATAGCCCTCTTAGGCCCCTAGGACCTCTCCTAGGCCTCTGGATCACTAAATGGCTTAACATACCTTTCTTTGTTGAGTGATCCTTTATGCACACTATAGTTTCAGACCTCCATCATCAGGTATGAAAAAAAACATCAGGCCATCTATCCGATTTGGTCAGATCCGTCCATACATTTGCCAAAACTCACGATCCTTTTCAGGACATTTCAAAGAACATTTACCAACGTATCACATCTCCCTATGCAAACCGTTTAATTTATTTAAACCATAAACCATACATTTAAATACATATTAAGAAACTCTCCACCAATGCAATAAAGGTGATTACATGAACACAACTGAAAGTATAAAATATATAAATTGTGTAAAACAAATCCCTAGTGTTTGTTAAATGACAAGTTATTGTTCTAGACCAACATTTACAATAAAACTATGGAGCTATCAGCTGACGGAGATAATAGAGACCCCAACAGAAGCCTAGGTTAAGGAAGGTCAGGAGAGACATAACATCATCTACGGGCTATAACATGAGTCTTGATTCATCTTTTGCGTCACCGAACATGTCTCCCGTGATAACACTGGCGAATTTTTCAGATTTATATTTGTTTATCATATTTTTGTCTTGTGTTTGTGTCGTGTGTGTTCTACAACTTCACCGGCAGATCTAACCACTTTAAAAAGACCTGATGTTTTGTCACCCTTGACGATGGACTTCACAAGTCTGAAACTTAGTAGTGTACAAAGGATCTCTTGAAAAAACAAGTTTACTAGAAAAATTTAGCTTAAACTCATATTTTATCTAAAAAAAACATGTGAATGAAAGTTGGTATAAAATAATATTCTTAATGTTGTATGCATATTATTTTCAAATAGATACTCTAAGACAGATCAAATTAAATTGTATTAGGAAACATATTTACGTAAAAATGTAATCTTTTAAATAATCAAGTGCCAAGTGTAATTTCAAATTGCCACTGTAGGTAAAAGTGCGTGAGGCGACCAGCAATGACCCTTGGGGCCCGAGCTCCACGCTGATGTCAGAGATTGCAGACCTGACGTACAACGTGGTCGCCTTCACGGAGATCATGCAGATGGTTTGGAAGCGACTAAATGACCACGGTCGCAACTGGAGACATGTTTATAAGGCGTTGGTGCTGCTGGACTACCTCATCAAAACTGGCTCTGAGAAGGTATTATATATGGAAATTATCGTTATATTTCGGTCACTTATATGTTATTGAGTGATAACAGGTTATCGTAACCATTTATTTTAATAACCTAACTCCAGGACAGTATCTGTCAGTCTGGAATGAAATGACAATTTACCGTGGCCAAGCTAAACTGTTATTTCTCCGCCGTTACTGAACTGTCTGTTATTTCCCTGCATGTTATCGTGTTGACTGTTATTCTAATGATTTCGTTATAAAACGTACATTTTCCATTTCACCCTAAGAATTATAACACAGTTATAGTTTTTGTTCAACAAATTGTGTTATCAGGAAGCAGCTTTTAATGAAACAGTTTTTTTAAATAACAGGGTTCTAGCAGTAACCTAATACCACGATAACAGTTATTTGTAGATAAGTTTACACACTCAGCTGGCGCCAGTCAGCTGGACTGCCTGCTGGTCTCATGTAAACGCGGCTTTACCTATTTAACAGAGTGTTTACACTGGTCACAGAAGTCACTGATTTTACCAGGGTGTCACGGAAGTCATCGAAAATTATGCAACCCGCCCGATCTTACCCTAAATACTAAAATAGTGTTGATCAGTTGACCTGTTCAATAATTTATTCCATCATACCATCTGATAAGATCAAATTAACTTACCAAGGTTTCCCATGATCAATTCTAATTGCTATAATTTTTCCAGGTTGCTCAACAATGCAAAGAAAACATCTTTGCTATTCAAACCCTGCGAGACTTCCAGTACGTAGAAGAAGGAAAGGACCAAGGTATCAATGTGAGAGAGAAGGCCAAACAGCTGGTCTTGCTGCTGAAGGACGAAGAACGACTAAGAAACGAGCGAGCGAGAGCGTTAAAGGCAAAAGAACGATTTGCCCAAACAGCGTCAGGCTTTGGAAGCGACACTGGACTGGTGAGTTGAAAAAGGTTTCAGTCTAATGCCTATGGCCCCTCGCCCTCTATACGATTTCGGACGACACTGTGTTGTACGATATTTTTATCGTATGTGTAGTCCTCGCCCACTTTGCGACACATCGGATAAATGACCAGTTGCCATTTATGGGACTGTCGTACAGTGGGCGAGCGCTCATAAGATGCAATGGTTCACTAATGGAATGAGGTCGGTCCGACACTCTGTCGTACGACCGGAATCGTATAGTGGGCGAGGGGCCCGTAAGTTCTTCAGTTTGCTGTAAAGCGATAAAAGGACTTGCAAGTGAAATACTAAATAAAAAGTACATGTATGTATCCTTCCGACAAGTACCAGTTTTAGTTTCGGTTTTGTAAAAATTTGAGTGCATCTAACATTTTACAACAATTGATCTACAACATTTACTAATCAAAATTTACTTATCTGTGAGTTCTCGTTTCTGGTTGTTTAAAAGCATTTGGCATCTCAGTTTTATATTTTTACTAACAAAAAAACTTTTCTTCTTAACCCGCAAAAGCTGTCTAAATGACTGTGTTGGTACTTATGGGTAAAAACACACCATGTTCAGGAAACATCATGACCTACTTTTCGCCATCCTTCACCCTCTCATTATAGTCTAGCAACAGCTGTTTTATATATACTGGTAGAGCTACATAGAGTTAAATGCTTAGTAAGGCTTGCACAATATTTTCTAATCCAACTTTTCAATGATCCATTTACTGAGAGAGGGGACTATAAAGGAATTTGAGTTTTACCCGTGAGGACTCTCTTGGAACTCTGGATTTATAACTGAACTAGGCCTATGCTTTTTTTATAATTTCTTATGCAATTTTCGTTTATATTTATATGAGAAACACTCCATACAAACAAAATTAACACTTTGTAGTGTAAAGTTTTATTACAACTGTTTATTGTATGTTTTATTATCTTAAGCATATTTAAAAGCTCATATATTAAATTTTTTCTACTAATTTAAGATTTTACGATATTAAAATATAACTTATATAGGCTTACCTCCGTCAGTAGTCCAAAATTGTGTCTTTTTCAACTAATGTTGTTCAAAGCTTACATGTTTCGTTGCACTGCAACATCGTCAGAGCTTTTTGTCAAAAACATCAAATGATTTATACATAAAACAAAACACGGAACACGAAACATTTAAACACGTAATAACACGATAGCGCTATCGACACGGCACGGCAGCGGTTGTAGGTAGACTGGACACGGGTTAAGTAACTTCGTCCCGTCCTTCTCTGTTATCAGCTCGGTGGTCAGCTGTTCTAGATGAGATAACGGTGTTGAAGAGGGAGTGGGACTTGAATTGTAGTTTATCATTGAGGATGTATTCCTTGTGTTCTTCGTTTACGTTCATTTTATATATCTCATACTCCTCAAGTGTGTCCAACTTATTACCTTTCCCGCAAAAATGTAGAACTTCCAAGCCGTTCTTAATATCACTCATTGAGTGATTACAATCTACAAGATGTTGAGCAAACGCGGATTTTTGTTTATGGTGTTTAGGATCTGGTCGGTGTTCTTTATATCGTGTTTGAAAGGCACGACCTGTTTGCCCTATGTATTTGCTAGGACAATCCGGACAAGATATCCTATACACGCCGGTCTTATCTACTTTGTCACCTATCTCAACTTTATTTGCCAACACGTTCCTGGTACGGTTTGTGGTTCTGAAGGCTAGTTCAATGCCTTGTTTAGCGAGTTCTTTCTTTAATGCGTGTTGGATAGTGTGACTATATTCCACGCAGACATATTTTTTCTTCTCTGAGCTGTCAATCTTCACACCTTGTTTGTTTTTATGTTTTTTGATGAGCCTATCTACCAAATCGCTTTTATAACCATTGACTGTAGCTATATGTTTTATAATTTTGTATTCAATCTCATAATTTACTGCATTTAACGGAACTGTTAACATCCTATGGATCAATGAATTAAATGCTGACATTTTTTGAGAATATGGGTGGTATGAGGTATTGTGGATAGTTTGTGCAGAAGTAGTTGGTTTCCTGTAGATGCTATAATCGAAACTGTCAACATTCTTCCTTATGGTTAAATCTAAAAAATGTATGCAGTTCGATTCTTCTGTTTCAAGTGTGAATTCTAATTTTGGTGCTATTTGAGTGCTATTAAGGTCGTGCCTTTCAAACACGATATAAAGAACACCGACCAGATCCTAAACACCATAAACAAAAATCCGCGTTTGCTCAACATCTTGTAGATTGTAATCACTCAATGAGTGATATTAAGAACGGCTTGGAAGTTCTACATTTTTGCGGGAAAGGTAATAAGTTGGACACACTTGAGGAGTATGAGATATATAAAATGAACGTAAACGAAGAACACAAGGAATACATCCTCAATGATAAACTACAATTCAAGTCCCACTCCCTCTTCAACACCGTTATCTCATCTAGAACAGCTGACCACCGAGCTGATAACAGAGAAGGACGGGACGAAGTTACTTAACCCGTGTCCAGTCTACCTACAACCGCTGCCGTGCCGTGTCGATAGCGCTATCGTGTTATTACGTGTTTAAATGTTTCGTGTTCCGTGTTTTGTTTTATGTATAAATCATTTGATGTTTTTGACAAAAAGCTCTGACGATGTTGCAGTGCAACGAAACATGTAAGCTTTGAACAACATTAGTTGAAAAAGACACAATTTTGGACTACTGACGGAGGTAAGCCTATATAAGTCATTATTCGTAGTCCAGGGGCTATCAGAAAAAATAATATTAAAATATAATTATACTGAATTATGAATTTTTAAGTCCTCTGTGCAGTCAGAAATATTGTGTGCACATTTTAAATTCAGTGCAAACTCTGCTGGGTTAAATTTATCAAAGGTGATATAATAATTTATAAGCTGTTATATTTTAGTACCGTACTTTATTGTTTTTAAAACTGAACTTACCTTCCTATTAACAACTTAATTATTCATTCTAATTAATCTGACTTCTGACTAATTGTTTTTTTAATACCTAACATAATAACTGTTGTTGCTTCTTAAAGTTATAATTTGTTTGAGTGTGATTTTTATAATCTTTTTTAGGACTCTGTTTCCCCTTCAAGTCCAGGATTTCCATCAGTAAGTACCTCATAATTAAAAATCACCCTAAAATGTGTGCATGAAATATTACCCGTTCCGAATCTGTTAAACCGTATCAGTGTTTTGTTATTTATAAGCATAAAACTTAGTTTTCAGTATTTATGAAATGTTTGAAACTTCTTGATCAAATACTACTTTTTTAACTGAACTGAATTTTTTGATTGTGCATTTATATTAGTCCGAAGTATTCACCTTTTTCCAACCTGTCAAAACTCAAATTGATATGATAAAATTTAGAATCCAATAAATGGAAATACATGTTTGATAAAAATTATGAGAAATGAAATGATTCAGTGTACGTAATATAGCTCAGAGGCGACTGTGGTGGTGCGTGGTAAAACTTTTAAGTAAGTAGAACTATTATTCTCAGCATGGGTTCAGACCTAGAAAATCTGTAATTACAGCAGCAGTGTCATTCATTGAATCGGTTGATAAAAGGGAGTTCACAATTGGAATTTTCATGGACCTAACTAAGGCATTTGATAGTGTCAACCACTCCCAATTGATAGATAAATTACTCATATTAGGGGTTTCAAAAAATTCAATAAAATTGAATCATATCAAAACCACTTTAGTCAGTTTGTAGAAATCGCGTATAATAATGATATTAGAATTACAATATTTTCTTCTGAAACTGAAAAAGTTAAACGTGGGGTACCCCATGGGTCAATCCTTGGTCCCCTGTTGTTTTTATGTTATATTAATGATGCTGGTGGTGCACTTTAATGTTTACCTCAGAACGATCTTTGGTTTTATGCAGACAATACAAATCTCAAAGTATCGGCATAGTCAATGCAACAAGTTGAAATCTTAAGCTTTGTTTAGTTGGCAAACATTGGAAACTTTCTAGAGGAAAATAAATTTAAGCTTAATCGTAAAAAATTAATTATTTTACTTTTAAAACAACTCAAAATAAACATTTAATTGAACCAAATATAATATACAGGGTGTCCCGGAACTCTCTACCAATATTTTAGGGCATTGCTCCTGGGTAAGAAACATAACTAAATATCATATTTAAACTGTCCGGAAGTCCTTAGTTACTCACACAGCCGCCATTTTGTTTTTTCAGTTATTAATTTTTTTCTAAAGAATGGTTAAACATACGAAGTGGAAACTTTGCACAAACATTTATGACAACTAGACAAAGCTGGAAAAAAATTATCACGATTTTTCAAAATTCATAAAACAAAATGACGGCCACTTAAAATTTGTGTAAAATCATTGGTTTTTGAGTTATTTAAGAAAGAAAATTTTAAATGGCCGCCATTTTGTTTTATGAGTTTGAAAAATCTTCATAATTTTTTTCCAGCTTTGTCTAGTTGTCATAAATGTTTGTGCAAAGTTTCCATTTCGTATGTTTAACCATTCTTTAGAAAAAAATTAATAACTGAAAAAAACAAAATGGCGGCTGTGTGAGTAACTAAGGACTTCCGGACAATTTAAATATGATATTTTGGTACGTTTCTTACCCAGGATCAATGCCCTAAAATATTGGTAGAGAGTTCCGGGACACCCTGTATAATGCAGAAGAATTTTATCATAAACACAGTACACAGTTCTAGGGAATGAGTCTCTAGATTCATAAAATGTTGAATAAACAAACCAGTTTTGAGTTTGACCTATATTTTAGCTTGGGCAGAGGTGTTAAATCCAAGCAGTGGTTGATTCAGTGTTGGTTAAGACTGGGGCTAATTTAGTACTGAAAGTTAATTGATTGTTGTTTGTTCACAGTACAGAGATGCGTGGGGATCCGGCGAAGAATCCACACCAACCAGTAGAGGTGAGATAAACAGAATAAATATTTATAGTACAAAGAAATATTCTTGAACACATTAAGTATTCACACATTTATACACATTTATAAATCATTACTTTCATTACTGCTTTCTGTTAAGGTGAGATTTAATTAATTCATAAAATAGATTTAATTTTGTCATGATTTGATTCATTTACCAATTAATTAAAGGCTTAACGGTGTCTACAAAAATTTTCTATATCAACTCCTTTCTCTCCTACATTCAAGACAAATTTTTTTCAGAAAGTTTGTACAGAAAGTTGTATGGTTTGTCCTGAAGAGTAGCTATATTTTTAAGGTTGTGCACTAGATGCAGATAATGATTTAGCATCAGGTTTTTAATATAACCAGTTAAAATAATCATTGTAACTAGTAGAAGAGACATGTTTGTTGCCTCAGTCCCAACGATTAGTCCCGTTTGTTAGTTGCAGCCGTGGAAGCCCCGGAACTTGAGTGTGCTCGGCCACAGACCGTTGGAGAAGAAGAACTACAACTACAGCTGGCGTTGGCAATGTCACGTGAGGAGGCGCAACAGGAGGAGCAGAAGAGACGGAGCGACGACGTACGATTGCAACTGGCTCTATCACAGAGCGAGAATGAATTTAAGTAGGTAGCCTGTGCGTGTTTAGGTTGCTTAACATTATGCTAAAAGGTGTATTCTTCTTATTATTACCTTCAAAAACCACCGCTGTAATGAGTTTCCTGCAATAAACTAAATACCAAAAGTATAAAACATTACCACAAGTATTTTTTTTTTTTTAAGTCTATTGTTGGATTTTACTTTTTTAAATTAATTAAATAAAATTGTAATTTTAAGATCTGTATTGTTGTTACAAACAAACAAACTAATAAACTACACCAATTATTAGTCAAATCTGATATAGAAACACCAGCTAATTCACTACATTTCCTCCTCTATTAATCTTGAGAGTGGACTAGCATTCCCTGTACTGGGTCTCAAAATCACATCTTCTCTAGAAGGCTCGGTAATTTGCAGCCATCGTCCTGTTGCTTCTCATGATCTGATCTCACTATCATACCTTGGCTATCCAGCTGGTCTTTGGTCTAAATAGATTTCCTTCTGAATGTTTATATTTTGTTCTGCTGTTTAATAATCATGATTATAATCCACCCATGCTTTAAGTAAAAACCATATTTTTTCTTTACTTTGAGATTTGTTGAAGTTAAACCTGTGAAATGTATTTTGCAGACATAAAGTGCCGTCGAAAGATCTGGACATGCCCTCGAGCCACATGTTGGATTTGTTAGACGTAAATTTGGGCGCTGCTAGTCCACCCCCCGCACCACTGGATCCTTGGGGTATGCCGTCCTCGCAACCCCCACCACCACGACCACAGGTAGAGTCTTACAGTTAAAGAAATACAAGTTGGTACAATTGACCTTCTCTTAACCAACCCTGGATCAACCATACGAGTAAATTAAATGCAGACAAAAATTACTACTATCAAGTAAACTTTGTGGAGAATTATATACAGGGTGAAGCAGACCACCCGTGCACATTTTACGTGATTACATTTTCACCTTGAAGCGCGAAATAGAATTATTCCCCCCTAAATCGTGTACGAAGAATCCATTTAAAATACTTAGAACATGATCTAAACACAGGGTGTTCCAGAAATGAAGGTCACGAGTTTGAATCTCGAAGTTTCCTTATGTCAACTATATCACATTGTACATTTTAGAAAGGTTATGATTGGAGAAACATTTTTGTGTGAACAAAACTATCAATTCATCAATCATCTCAATTTGTTTAAAAATTGCGGCCACGTTTTGAATTTTTTGTGTATTGACGTAATACCCTGTATTTCGAACCCGCTAAAAGTTTTACAGTTCTGATTGAAAATTTGTTTTCAACAGAATATTTCTTTAAGCAAGACCTTTCTAAAAATGTACAATTTTATATTATGTTGACATAAGGAAAAGCTGATTTTGGGGCCCTATGTGCAGGTAAAAACCTGCTCGGTCCCCAAATGATGATGACAGCTGGCATGGCCAGCAAAACGTAACTTTCAGCCACCAATTAACATATGTAAAACAGCTAAAAACATCATAGAGTGGTGAAAAAGAATATAGTTGTTTGAGCCAGTCACCAATAGTGTCTATAATTCCATTTTCTGCCATAAATTTTCTTACTGGCCAACTTGATTGGTTATAAAGTTGTTATAGCTCACAATGAGGCATTTCATTAGTTTAACTTGGTAAAAAGTAAAAATTTGGTGAATTTGACAGAAATTAGTAATTAGAATCAGCACAATCTGTCGGTGGTTCACATCAGCTACGACGCTACGAGGATTTTTTTTTAAACTGGTGACAATTCATCCGGATGGAATGTCTAGTTGTATCAATAGACATAAGTAGGCTACAGTATAATTTGTAAGAAACCCAAGTATTTTTTTATGTAATAACAGTAAAACATTAATTTCATCAGTATTTCACATATTCATAGTTGATCTTTTAGGTTATCCGATCTAGGTTGGTTCTGAGAGGGTGTACTATTATTACCAGAAAGGGTGTGCATAGGGTAACTCTGGGATTTAATCACCAGTGGTGGATTTTCATGTGATGAAGCCGTGATCTTATTATTCTGAACACCTTAGAAGCTTAAAAACTGTTTCTGGTTTGGATGTTTTATTGATATTACATACAATATATTTTAAAATTTAGTTCTGATTTCTTAAAGTACAGTAATGTATGAGTATATATTTACTCTGTTCTAGTAAATATAATGAATTGATTTTTTTCAATAGAAATAAAACTCAAACCTAAGAAAGCTTATTCGTATGGGAAATTCGCTAAAAACAATCTATAGTTTTTTATTTTTTTTGTTCAGACTCTTGACATCATGTACACAAACTGGGACTTGGTAAGATAATTGTGTGATGTCCTGCTTACTTCCTTGTAAAAATATTAAAATATCCATGATAGTTATAACTGCTTTATAACTCCGTAATGTTAGCTAACTTATGTTGTTCATTTAGCAGTATTATTTTTTGAATTTTGATACGAGTTGTTATTTTTATTCCTTTATAATTATTTTCAGTTATAATTTCACCTATTTTTTCTAACGTTATTCAGTTTCATGTTTATTGTTAAAGATTTTTGATTATTTTGTTAGCTAGTAGTATTGTTATTTTTTAAGAATAATTGATGTGCTATTAACAAATTGTTTTGTGTGTAACTTAAGAGAGTAAAAGTAGGGAATTTGATCACCTATTATAACTTGTACCCCTTTCATAGTGTAAATAAATTGCTTTAACAAATTTTAAAATACTTCCCTCTTAAAATAAATAACCAAAACTGGAAAAAAACTGAGTCTTTTAATTTGTGTGACACGTTTGAGTTTTATATATAATAACTCTGTACAAACTAGCGATATTAAGAAGTACTAAAATCATGCTGTAACCTTCTATTTAAAATCTAACAAAAAACCACTAAGTGGTAACACTTTCCCCGCCAAGTCAGCAATCCAAAAAAGATAATAAATCATTACTTTTTCCGCCAAGAAAAACAATGTAATGTATGTAAGTTTGGTAACTTGGCGGCAGGCTTTTGCTCGATCACTTTAAAAATACCATAAAACTAGTTTCATTGAGCAAGTATCTCTCCCATTAGTACATTGCTAGGTGAGAGCTTATTTTACAAAACTTGACCTTATTTGTGCCACATTTCATAAAATCATAATAGTGATGGTTTTATATTTACTGATTACCTCGAAATTATTATACTTAGTGGGACTAATTAATTAGAGAAGTTGATTTGTGAAATTATCCACGAACGTAACTTAAATGAAAAAAAACCAAGCAAAAGTCTGCCGCCAAGTTGCCAAACTTACATACATTACATTGTTTTTCTTGGCGGAAAAAGTAATGATTTATTATCTTTTTTGGATTGCTGACTTGGCGGGGAAAGTGTTACCACTTAGTGGTTTTTTGTTAGATTTTATTTATTTTTGTAGAAAATTAACCGTTCAAATAAAAATACTCTTTTCTCTGAAAAAAATAAATAAATTTTAATGCTAAAGTTGACTGAACTCTCGATCTTCCGGTAGTCTTTGCAGAGGGTACCGGTTTTGTACTCTCATCCTGCACTTTTTCGACATTTTTGGTCTGGCACCACTTCCTGTCCCTCACATAAGGAGCCGAAGAGGAGTCACAACTTGTGTTGTAAAGTGGAAGGTCAGACCTGTACTTCTGCCTTAGTCTGTTGTATTCGAGAATGGCGGATTTCTGAGGCTTCACATCTCTTGGGTTAAAGTTAATAAGATGAAGCCCTTCTAATGAAGTCACTCGTGACAAGGCAACATATGATTGGCCACATGTAAATATGGACTCCCCAATATCAATTATTATGCTATTTAAGCTGAGGCCCTGGCATTTGTGAATTGTAACCGCGTAGGACATCGATATCGGGAATTGCTCTCGATACACAAATGCGTTATCCATCACTTGAAACTTGACGTTTACTCGCTGTAGGTGATGGGTAATGCCACAATCAAAGTTAATTGTCACTGAGTCTACGTCATCAGAATTGTCTGTATTAAACCTCAACCTAACGATGGTTAACTAGTTAACTAGCCCCACAGTGACGTCAATGTTTCTAAGCAACATAACTTTAGCACCAACCTTAATAGGAATAATTTTCTCCATACCAGCCGTTCTGCTGCAGTCAGAGTTGTAAGAGGACAGTATCTTTTTAACTTTGTTTTGTTGACGAGGTAGACAGTCAACTGAGTCTTTTGCAACCAAGTTAACGACAGGACCACTTATTCTATTGACCATTTCATCATTTATTATGGAGCATTGGTAACCAGTTGAACAAAGACACACAGAATTGTTGGGAAAAGCAGACAAGTAATCTCCTAATAGAGAAAGGTTTTCACAAGCAGTTTTTCCATTAAGATGTATTTTCTTGCTTTCAATTAGACGGATGTCCTCAACGGTCATATTGCCTACTCTGACTTTGCTTAACACATCAGCAAACTTAGAATCTTGAGCTTGTCGCATGTTTGTAGTAAGTTCATCATAAGAGAACTGTTCAGACCAGATGTTAACACAAGACAGAGAGCCAACAAAAGAACTAAGTTTGCTACTGTCAAGTTCAATGAATGGGGAGTCTTCGTGTACTGGTGGAAGTTGTAAAAGGTCTCCAAAGAGCAGTATATGTTTTTTACCAAACCAGCCGTTACTTTGGTCTGAGGTGTTGAATATTTCACACAATCTGAGATTTATGTACATCAATGTTAGATTGGAGACCATGGACACTTCGTCTATTATGAAGAGCACCACATCTTTCAGGTTGGATCTCAACATTTTTAAAACATCATCAGTAAGAGCTTTGTACTTTGGAGTTTTTCCATGCTCAACTGGCAGCTGAAACACTTTGTAGATCGTAGAACCATTGATGTTGTAAGCACTTAGTCCTGTGGGAGCTGATATTGATGTAGAGGCTTGAAGACATTTTTTAGTCCAAGAGCTATTAAAATGCAATTAAAACATAGCCATGGTATCTTACCAAATGGTCCTAAGAAATGTTCTCAATGTTCTTAAACTAGATCTCTTCACTACACATAAACAATGCTGCTCTTTTTGTAAACATGAAAAAGACAACAAACACGTTTTATTTACAGCTGTTAAAATTATTAATACAATGTTAAAAGACTTAGTTAAATAATTTAGCTAGTATCCTAGTATATAATTATATAGAAACATATGTATAAAATGTGATTGCATCTGGTGGCCTACTTAGCACCAATTTATAGTTGACTTAAAATTCGGGCAGATGAATATATTTTATTCTTTGTACTTTATATTTCATTGCTAAGATTTAATTATGATTTAAATGCTTATTGTTGTGAGTTCAATTGTAAATAAAGGTGTTGAAAGTAATAGCCCTCTGTTTTAACGTTTTTAAAGCTTTTACCAACTTAAATAGAATTCAACCTAATATTAAAGTGAATTCCAACATTACTGGCAATGCGTTGGTGTTACATAAGTGTTCTGATAATTAAACCCGTATATCTAAAGACTAGTGTAAATTGAGCCCTTGGGTGACTTTCTACAGCCAGTTTCAACGTCTAGAACTGTGTGCAAAACCTCCCATTTCCCCATTTTTATTTGTCATGAATAAGTAGACATTTTAATACTAACTATGACGATTGCATTCATAAAATCTCAAAACATATTGTAGGCTACGGCAATATTGTCCTAAAAGCTGTTTACTGACTTTCTAAAGCCATATTAATGTATATAATTGTGTCCAACTAACTAACTTTCAATTGCGTAATATTGTTTTATTTGCTGTGCTATTGTCCACAAAGTTGATCTATGTGAAACTTAATACTACTCCTGCTATCGCTTATTAAGTTTAATAAAATCTACATTGATGTGTGTTTAAGACATTGCGTGTTTTAAGGACGAAATGTACGTTTAAATTTATTTTTCCAGGGTCCAAGGAGGGGGGGCTTTAGCCCCTGTAGCCCCCCCCCCTTGGAACCGTCACGGGGGGGAATATCTCTTCTCTAAGTAATTTTATATAGTAAGTAGTTCAAATCATTCGGTATACCTGAAAAAAATACTTTATAAAAGTTTTAAAATAATCATCAGCTGTTCCTATAAATTTCTCTAACATTTAAATTTATTGATATTTAATCGCAGCTGGTCCTTCTTTTTATTTTGATTTGTTTTGATTTTAATCCCATGTTATTTAAATGGGCCAAAATCGTACTTTGAGGGCTTGCCAAGGGTTTATGGGTCAACGTACCGACTTGAGACCCTCAAAAGGCACATCTACACGCTAAGGGCTTTCACACAACATAAAGAACATTAAAATTGAGCCAGTGGTTTGGGCTGTAGGTCCGTCAACATTTAAGGAGAAGAAGGAGAACACGGAAAATTTGTGAATTTTCAAACTAGTTTTTCTTTGCTCAAACACAACCGTTTTTTAAATTCTTTTTTTTATTTTGTTGAGAATGATTGCCCCTATCCAGTAGATGAACAATTATTTTAATAGCTTTTGTTTCTTCAGAGCTATAGACGAGTAAAAAAGCCACTTTGTCACGTCATGTATATATACACTGCAGCAGCTGTGTACCGCTGGGGGACTTGGCGGGGCGGAACGCTGCCGCGTTCCTTAATAACCAAAGATGTGAATAGAAAAAGATAATAACTCTTCAGATGATATTGACAAAATAGTATTTATGATTAAATTGGATTACAATTTTAGTTTGTTAGGTTGTTTCATCCCAAAAACAGGATACAGCCTGCATTCCAATGAATTTTTACTTCCCAAGTTATCAAACTCTAAAAATATTTATATACTCACGTTTTTTTAGTCGGTACATAAACTAATAATTTTTGTGATAACCATGTTTCTTTACACTTTATGTGATATTTTATACTAATTTTAGGATTAGCTCATTGTCTGAGAATGTTAATATATTTTCTATGCTCTTGCGCACTTTATGAGTTAATTTATTATTCAATTTCTTCCCAGCTAAGCTGTCTTGTCTCAGTAAAAGGAATGTATAACGTCTCAATATTTGTAATCTGGATGAAGCAAGAAAGCTGGAAGATTCCTTGGTTCTTTTCCATTGATTCACTATCACTCTGTATTTTTTTTATTTTTTCATATTGAATTAGTTTTATATCTACAAATCCTGTTTTGGGTTGTTGGTTAAGTTAAGAGTTAAGTTAGGTAAGAACCGAAACATAGCCTAAAACTTCAATTGGTGGTAGTTAATTAGACCTTTAGGTCCGATTCCTTTATCCACAATATCAGGGTTCTAACTTAACCTTGCACAGACTGATCCGTGGAGCGTGACGACAAACAGCACTCCTAGTGTCAACGATCCCTGGACACCAGCGTCTACGTCGTCTCAACCTCTGCCTCCCAAACCTGGTGAGTGTGGCCGAGCTCTTAAAATTGTTTAATTTTTTACGCCTTCTTATCTTATCTATAAGCTTTTTTGTGATATACCACAGAAGGGTTGTGGACCAACCATTGTTGCCGCTGAGGCAGCGTTTGCCAATCTGTCCGTGGCTTAATTATTTATGTCACACTGCACAGTAAGCAACTAGTTTCTCTACTCTTTGTAGACTAGAAAGTTGTAGCTTACGCTTACAGAAAGTGATCGGCAAAATCAGCTAGAGCGCGCTAAATTACTGGTTACTCTCATATGGCACTTTGTCACAAAAGGCATAATTTGAGTAACTAGTACATCAATAGGCTCTGGGCTCTGCATGAAGCTATTCAATATACAGTTTTAAAAGGCAAATTGTACCCTGTAAAATAATGTATCCTTTTAAGAAAAAGTTCAAAAATTTTTTAAATATTTTTAAGTGTGAAAACAATTATGCACCTCCCAATTAGAATAAGTAACATTCTTTTCAATGGGTTAAGATGGTATTTCCTGTACAGATCCATGGCGGGCAGTCGACCCCCCTACACCAGTGCCCCCCAAGCCCCCCATGAACGACCCCTGGTCCCCCGCCAGCCCTGCGCTCAGTGTTAGCCCACCCCCGCAAAGCAATGGCACCAACCTCACCTACAACAGTGCTACCAACATAGCAAGCACTCCACTCAGTGATCTAGACGAGTTCGATCAAATATTAAACAGAGATAGAAATATCAACAGTGTGAACAACAATATTACTGGTGAGTTTTTGTCGGTTGATGACTCTAATTTAGGATATCTGAAGTATTACTTCATTTAATCAAACATTGTAATCTCTAAATATAAAACATTCCATCTGTAAATACCAGGTGTACCCAAAGAAAAATACATAGTTGAATGGGATACTCAAAGAGGGGTCTGACTTAGGGGAGGTACGAATGAGGCATTTAGTTCAAAATTCCTCCGTGAACAGCGCTGTAGTAGAGAGCACTTTGGTAATGAAGGTTTGCTAACCGCAAAAATAGTTCTGTTCATAAAATAAAATTATAAATGTCTCAAATTCAATTTTATTATTTTTTAATTATAAAATTAAACCATGATAACCTAACCGAACTAACCAAACTTGCTGATAAAGAAATAATATAACAAAAGTTTAGTAATCGGAAAAATAATTCTGTTTATTAAATAAAACTAGAATTTGCTCAATTAAAATTTTGTAATGACTTAATAATAAAATTAAACTGTAATAACCGAACCAAACCAACCAAACTTGCTGATTATAAAAAAATCTTGGACAAAAAGTTAATACTACCAGCAGGATTCGAACCCGGGACCTACAGTATATCAGCCCGGCACGCTAACCATTAGACCACCGAGGCCGATGGCTATTGACCGTTTTGTTACGGTAATGGCGTTCCCTCAGCTAATAAGAAGCCCACAGCTGTCATCGTAGCCTCTTCTATACCTCCCCTGAGTAAATACCCTCAAAGAGTGCTACTGTCTACAGTTCTATTTTCCTCTTAGTTTTTTTTACTGTGTTAGTTTATAAAAGATGCTGTATTTACAATGATTTTTTCCTTTCATTTTGGCTTGGTTAGTTATAGTTGTTGTATTTCATAGAAATCTGCAATTTACAACACAGTCACTGGCTCAACTGGATACAAGTTTTATGTACAAATGGAAAGTCTTATACAATAGACTCCCTTTTATCCAGACTCGGGACCGAGGCCAGTCCAGATAACGGGTTTTCCAGTTAAACCGACGTCCCCAAAGACTCGTTAAAACGGACCATTTAAATGCATACTGTATACAGTAGTTGACTTAAATTTGAGAGAGCATTGTATTTAGACACAAGATCACTGGCCTCAAAGCTTTCCCTTGAAAACAGTCGTTTCAGTACCACCGACTTCCTGCCGATCTAGTCCAGTTAAACCGATGTGCTTATAAAAATTGTCTTAAATAGATGTAATTTCTGCCGAGTGTGGTCTGGTTAAACCAATGTCCGGATAAGAGGGAGTCTACTGTAGTTCTATCAAGTCAAAGCTTACAATGTAGAGGAAGTTTTGTAATGTTTAGGTTCATATTTTGGGATGCCTATTTTGGTAAAAAGAAATAAAAATAAATTTTGGAAAATGGTAATTTAGGGCAAAATGTGCACATTGTGAATGTTCTTCTGTTGCCTGTTGTTTTTCAGAATTATTTGTTTTCGTGCAGTAAACGGACAAAAAGAACATGAGTTAATGTCCCATTATTTATTTTGGGAAATTATAATTTGATCCTTATGATAGAAGACAACATTGCATTCAATGTGGTAACCAAAGAATACTTGCCAATGGGGTCAGATAGCACAGAGAGTCAAATTTTAATTTGTCAAAGTGTTATTGTTATCATTTGTTACTTGTTAGCAATATTGTGGTTTAATTATTGTAGAAAATATTCAGGTATAGCATAATTCAAAATTATTATGCTAGCAAATACTTTTGGGAGATTCAGATTTCTGGAAGCTACTTAACTCTATAATTTAAGTTACTACTCCTCAATACAAACCTTATTTGTACGAATATAAAAATAATAAATATAAATTTAAAAAAGTTTTTTTGTTCTTTTGATGAAATAATATTTCACAAAACTAGTCGTATTCTATTCAGCAGTTTCTTTTATTGAAGAAGGCCATTTTTTCTGTTTATAGTATGTTATCAGGTACTGATAACGCATAGGTTTGCAAGAAGCATTGGAAATGCTACAGTAAGAAGCGATTCAAAAAGTGTATTTAGTGTTCATGTGTTGTGTAACTGTGTTTTTAGTGTAATGGCCTGTCTTAAGTGTGTCATCATTGATTTATTTCTACGTACTCTCATTTATGGAGGTCTTTTTGGTCTTGCTGCACATTTATTCATGCCAGCTGATATTATATCCATAATGAATGGTAATTGAGCAATTTATTGGAATGGGTGAATTTACTTGATAATTAATCGCTTCAAACAAACATTACCAACATAAATTATACAGGTTTTGTTTTATATTTCTTTAAGCTATGGGGGTGATTTAGAAGGTTTGGAGGGGATGCGGAGTTTAGCTGGCTTAGAAAGTAATTAAGCCCTTTGGTTCCAATCTTCACAGATAAATTGGCTGAACTTAATCCCCCTAAAAACCTTTTTATGTCGATTGTTACTATTCCAAACAAATTAATCTTCGAAAGGATAAATTACAGTGAGGTGGTTTTCAAAATATCTAATCTTTTCTAGATTTTGTTTATTTTAAAAGGTTTTCTGGGTGAAAAACTCTAGAGCGGAATAAGTTAGATGTTGTTTGGGATAGGAATGGCTGGCTTACATGCACAATGGGAGAGTCTTCTAGCTATGTGATATCTATGGAGAATACTCGAACCACTGTAAAGACTGCTCTTCATTATTTTAAAGTTATCCTACATATTATCTGATTACATATTTGTATTATCTTTTTAATTGCTATGTGATAATCATAATTATTTCTTTTCTTTGAGAACTAACATACCATTTTTACGTCTTGTATCAATTAAAAAAAAAAATGCTCTCTATAATGGACCGGTGTTGATTTTTTAATAATACTGTAGTTGTTAGAGTTAAAGTAGGTATACTGCATCAAGCTTCCACAACTTTGAAAGGCTCTTTGATTTAACCTACTACAAACCTTCCACATTTGTGTTGTAGGCACCATCAGCCCAGATCCCTTTGACCTGACAGGCCTAACTAACTCACTGACGCCGTCCCCGTCTAACGTTCCACCGCCCAAGAAAACGCCTCAAAGCTTCCTAGGCGAGAACTCTGCTCTGGTGAACCTGGAAAATTTAGTAACAAAAACTTCGCTCACGTCCGCACCCGCTGTGCCTACTCCTCCAGGTTGGTCGTCTTTTATTTTCCCTATTCGTATCACATTTTATTTGTTTTTAATTTCTTGATTTTAAGATTTTTGCTCTCCTTTTATTGCTTTTTTTCTTTTTCTCACTATTTATTTTTTCAATTTTTTTTAAATTTGATTGAGTTTTTCCTTCTTCCATGCAATAGTTTTATACTTGATTTTACTCCTTTAACTCCCTTAGTAATTGTTTTTAGGGAATTTCCCTATAGGGAAGTAGCTTTTACCAGCACGCATAAGACCTATACCCAGGTCTGATTTACTTTATGATTTCGATGTCCCCATTGGCTAAAAACACTCCAATCAGGCTAATGGAAATTCAATTAGCCTACAGGTTTGCCTCGGTGGGGTACTTTTAATTATGTTTGAAAATTATCTTGTCTGTTTCAGCTCTAGCCAACCCGTTTTCCAACAGCCCCACGATGGTACGCCCCCCGATCAGGACGCCTCCGTACCCCCCGGCCGTCCAGGCACCCCTTCTACCGCAGCCAAACCCCTTTCTATCGTAACTCTTTCCAACTCCGATTGTGGCTGTTACCTTTTATACAGTTCCAATGTTGCTTTCCAACTTTTATTCTGTTTCAGTATTTTTATTTGTAAACGTTTGAAAAAGTTGTACAATGTGGGGAGAGCGGATGTGATAAATTGTTTCAGATCAAATTGTTTTATGCATTTATTATAGTGTCACTTTTGCCTTTTAAATGTCTACAATGTAAGGTGCTAAACAAAATGATTTCCGGGTGTACATAGAGACTTATTGTCCGTGCTTTAACGAATGAGTCCATTGTGTATCTTTGTGCAGTTTGATGTATACACTTTTTGTAATAAGTAAATATATATTACAGGAGATAATATTAGTGAGGTCTGAGTTTTACAACATTTCACAAATAGACTACTTAATGAACACACTTCTCAAAATTGTTTGATTAAATACTGACTTTTTCTTATACTACTAAAATAATTTAAAATAAGTAAATGGAATGTTTCATGATGAGTTTTGAGTTTCAAGCGAAATATCAGATCCATCAACTGCACATTGATATTGATCCAAAGTTTTTTAAAAAGCCACACGGATTTAACGTAACGGAAGGCCTTGGTGTATGAAAGTTCACTTTATTCACGACACCAATACATTATTCTACAATCACGTATTATATGTAATTTAAGTGTATATAAAGACTAGCGTAAGAAGGGGAAGGGCAGTAGCAATAAGCCGCGGTTGATTTTATTTAGAGTATTTATCATGATTGTTTTATTTTATACCTTATTATCAGTAAACTATGAGTCGGTTTTGAGTGGGTGTTGAAATCGTTCACCAACTTTTATATTTATTTATTATTTTGGAGAAACTTTTTTATGAATAACAATCCCTAATAAGTTATTGGAGCGCTAGGTCGTATATTGTAAAGTGAATATGAATATAGGGTGTGTATAAAGTAAAATTAGGTTTTTACCACTATCTGATTACTTTTAACAGTTTATTTAGTCGAGGGAATGCTATGTCAGGGGCCCCAGCTTTTTATGATGTATATGAATAAGTTGGACAAGTCGAACAATAATTGTATGAATATAACAAAAAAAGTCTACTACCGTAATGAAATCTATGTCGCTTTTTTAAAAGGACTCTAAAACCAGTTGATGAAGAAACATGTTTAGTGATTTTACAAAAATCAATAATTTATATTATTTTTCCTACAGTTACCTAACAATGTACCATGTTCTCACATGTTCTTACAACGAATGTTCTCACTGATTTGAGAAAGCAAAGTGGCCAATTCGCTCATCAGTGAAACAATGTTAACATTGTCTCACTCTAATTACTTTGTCTCACTCCAGATTAGCAACGTGAAAATAGTGGGCGCGTAACATGCAGGCAATGTCGTATGCGCACGAAATACGTTGGCAGCACTGGCTGTAAATCAGCTGGTCAGCTGTTGTACTGTTGTATTTGTCACTTCACATTAAATGTTATATTAAAAGTTCACTTCTGTGTAAAAATTGGTTATGTTTCTTCACCAATTTATTTGTTTTATGGTAACTGTAGGAAAAGTATAATGTGCAACTCGAGTTCAAAGTACAATTGCCTCACTCGAGAAACCATTCCTCACTCGCCTATGGCTCGTGAGTAAGGATTTCTCTCAAGTGAGTCAATTGCTCACTTTTCTCACTAGTTGCACAAATAACTATTAACTATATGAATGTCCTTGCTATGGTTAAAGATTTAAATTATTTCTATGTGTGTTTAAGTACTTCCTAAAAATAAAGTACAGTATGAGTTCACACATTTTATATCATTAATTTTTTAACAGAAGGATCGTTCCTTTGAATTTGATCTTGAAGAAATGTAATCGGTTTTTAACTTTGTAACTCAGAATTATTTGTAAAGTGATAGACAATACAAATAACCTTCAAAATTCTGAATGGATTAAAAATCCAAAAGATTTATTGTTAAAAAGCTATTGAGTTTAGAGAATGGTTGTGAAACATATGAAAGAGGTTTGTAGATAAAGTTCCTGATAAAAATTGTATTTTTTTATGTTAACTTAAAACCGACTCATTCCGTATTTATTAATAAATTAGTCGATTATGCTAACAAATTGTAATTCGTTATTTAATGTAAAAACCCATTGAGTCAAAGTACTTAATAATGGTAATCTGTAAAATGAAATTTTCTTTCCTAAATCAACTAAACTACTTGAATAAATTAATAAAATATTGGTACTGGTTTATATTATCAATTGAGATTAGGACACCACTTATAGGTGTGTATTTTAAATCAAATATAAGTTAAGGAATAAAGTGAGATGTCTTGGGCAGCTTTATTACTGAGTACTAACAAGTAACAAGTAATAGTTTATTCTTTGATCAATTTCAACCAGTATTAAGTACTTTTCCTCAATGATAAAATCAGTCATTATCTATATTATGTTTAGTGTTATTATTTTAGTCTGATTTCCTATTAATAGTTCTATGTTACTTGGCTGGTCCTGTTAAAGTTTGTTTTCCACCGCTTAAAGATGGTGGGGATGCATATAAAGGCGAGAATACTAATCTTATTTTACATTTTGTAAGATAGCACACTCATTGTTAACACAGAACATATTGTTTATTTTACTATTTTGAGGACCGATACTGATTTTTATCTGTGAAAAGTCTTTGTGTGTTATTAAACTCTGTGGTTTATTCTAGATATGATTCTTCCTTACTCCTTTTAAAAGTATGGTAAATTATATGTTTTTAGTGAGGGTTAAATGGAGGCAGTATTTAATGTTATTGGTGCAGACTTCTATATCAAACAATTCCGTCTATTGCAACACTCGGGCGCTCTCTTTAATTTTTGGCTACGAGTGAACTACAAATATTGTGTGACTCCCAACTAATTGAAACTTTCCAGCTTGTTTTCACATCTTTGTAAAAATTTTACCTTACCTCCATGTCCACTGAAACCTTAAGAGAATTGAATTCCTCCTATGGCTTTACATCATGGAATTGTCCAATACAGAAAAGTTTCTCTTCATCAGACTCACCTATTCTTGTGTCTTCAAGTCTTCTACATCGGGAAAATTACAGCTTGAGGCATATTCTCCTCTGAGTCTTGACATTAACTCGTAGCTTAAAGCCTTTATGATTGAGATTTGAATATGAAACAGAGTCCTGTAATTTAATCACTAGACTAGCCTGAATTCCTTGGTTGAATTCCATTATATTTAAAGATAAGGAAAGTAATTTAAACTATAAAGAATAAAAAAATGTTTTACTTCTTAAAACTACCCTGCATCAACAAAAAACTGATGCCTGTTTAATAACAATATCATTTTTTTAGATAACAAATTCTAACAATGAAAAGATTGTTTTTCAAATTGGTGAACGATGTATCTAAGCTTCAAAGTAGTATGGGACACCACATTAGCTCCGCAACTCTCTAAGCCCTAAAACAAAATGATAGTATCTGTAATAAGTGCATTCTAATTTTTTTGTATTATTAAAAAGAGGTTGACGTCCTATTTTAACCTTCCATTTGCATTCCACCCCTTCCTTTCCTTCCTTTCTTTCCTTTTTCCTTTTCCTTTGCATTTGCCCGTCCACATAGGCTATGGTTCCTGGAGGCTATGTGTGGAATGAATCCAGTAAAGCAAGGGGTAAACTGGTACAGTACAAGGGTAATTTGTACTGATAAAATGTAGCGGCATTGACCAGGACCTGAACCACGACATCGCTGCCATGGGCCCAGAGTATATGGCGCTACCGACTCACAACCAGGCGGTTGATTTTCTAATATCCTGGTGTTCAAATTAAATCAAGGAGTGTTGTAATGGCCATCAACAACTCCAAAGTGTCCAAGAAGAAATAACGTATAATAATATTAGAGAATTTCATTGTAGCCAAGTCCCATAATATGCAAAACAGGTATCGCTGACGCAAATAGTCCACTCGTTCTCCTGCCACATAAATATTGAAGGAGCTTTGCGAACTCAAAACTACTCACTGTCTTCTGCCTTGTTATACATTTATTTTAATGGTGAAAGAACTGATGATCCTAGTAAAAATCTTTGGAATGAAAAGAAAAACTAACAACTAATTTATATTTTTCTCACCGAAAGTTTTCCACCAAACTTTCATTGTATACATGTTTGTTTTTCAAAGACATTTTCAATGGTGTACTACAAAAACCTGTGTTGATATTTGAGATTATTCACTTGTAAGTTCTTACATTTTCCAAATATCCCTTTGCCTTTCAACCCTTCCCGGACGGGTTATGGATATATCCGCTTATGGTTTTTGATGTTCCGGACGGGAAGCGGATATGTAGGATAGCGGATATAATTGCCTTCTCTTCAGACAGACTCGCAGGTGCTTGAGCAGTAACCAGATGTTTCGCGGTACCAAGGAGCCACTTTCCTGCTCTCTCCATGGCTGCGCACTCCCTTCTCTCTCCCCCGCCTCCCCTTCTCCCGCGCACCCCCCACCTCTCCTACGCTCCCCTCTCGATGTTTCGCGCTCAACACTACGTTATCTTTATTTATTGTTAACATATTGTTCTTTATTTATTGCCTAACGTCATGGTAATATCTTCAAAGACGGGTGGCGGATATATCCGCTGCTTTTCTGCTCATCCACGGACGGGTAGCGGATGCATATAGTTAAAAACGAGTAAAAAATTATTTTGACAGTATGAAGTGTTCCATTGTGTTTATTTTATGTATACTTGTATAACAAAACAAAAATAAGGAAAATTAGTTTTATTTTTTCCTATATTTTTTTCCCTTCTATGTCACGATTTTGCCCGTCCGGGAAGGGTTAAATTAGTAATCTTTTGGTGTATGTAGCGCTACATTAATGCAGGCAGTTGCAATAAAATTAACTGTAAGACCCTAAAAATTAACTTTAGACATTTTTGAGCACATGTATAAGTGGTAAGTTTAAAATTGTTTAATCAAAATATTAGGTGAACAAATACCTTTAAAATGAGGTGTTGATTAACCTACACATTTACATTTGAAAATTATTTTTGTTATTTTATTATTTATTCATGATGCCAGACTTGGTGCTTCCCAGTATGGGTTCACACCAGATAATCAACATAATTATTAATAATCAGATTCAACTTTCAAAAAGAATTATATTTTTTAATATCTCTTCCCATTGGGTTTTAACAAGGTGTAAAATAGATATCAACTACTTCCTACTTACTACTAACTACTTACTCTGCCTGAATGATGCAGTGAACAACTGTTGCCAACACTCTGAATACAATTAAAATTTCAATATTGTTCTTCATGATTAAATAAGCAGAAAAGATCAAACAGTATAGATACACTCCTAGAAGAAAAACAATGAGACACTCTTTCAACCTATTTTTAGATAATACAGTTTGTTTGTGGCTCAAACGAATATTAAATCCTTTCAAGTTGGTTTTGATGTTTACAGGCACTGGAATAACAGCACAGTTTCCTTTCATTTTAGGTTGCAATTAACTAATTCTTGTAGTGTTAATCTTATCTATGTTATCAAGTGATTTACTAATTCATTTTTTACCTACCTTATGGCTTCATGAGATAGAAGAGTTTTGTACATTAATCAATGAAAGTCATTTTTGAGTCTAAAAAAATCCATTTGATTCTCAAAATGAAATAATAAATTTTATTGTATAAACAAAATAGGTATTTGGAATTTATTTTTAACATGTTAAAATTAATTGTTATTATGGATTGTTGTTAAAATTTTAATTGTTGTAAATTGTTTGATTGTTGTTTTTATCAGCCCCTTCTGAGTACTCTGGGAAGAAATCTTGATTGAGGCTAATTCTAGTGGTTGATTGTTCAGTGAATACAGTTTTATTGGCCCCTCAGAATTGACATTTTTGGAAAGGTGAACAGAGACACACATTTCTGGCGATCCTCTAGAATTTATGTTACAACAGGTTTTTATGGATAAATTTATAAATTGGTTTGTTGTTTTATAAATAATTGGTTTTTCTCAAATTTGACCCTATAAAAACGTATTATAGAATTCATATCCTATTTCCAAACTATTTTGTAGAGCTAAAAAAACAAATAATTCAGTATCTTTAAAGTGTTTTTGAATGGTTATTGGTTGCGGGAAAAATTCAAAAAATTGAAATTTTAAAATTCTCATGTTATTTTTTTGTAGTGTGTATGCTTTTAGAAATATTTTGATACAACATGGCAAATTTATTTATTTCATACAAAGCTATTAACATTTTACAAAAATTACACTTGATTAACCTTCCTGTACCAGCAAAAAAAATAATAATATAATAATAATGACATGTTTAAGAAAGTATTTAAGTGAAACTTTTGACTATTATACAACGTGAAACCAATAAGGCAGAAGGAAATTCACTTAGTCTGCAGATTTGATACGGGTGTATTTTACATTTTCGATTGGCTTGAAGTGTACAGTAAGCCTGTTAGTGCAGGTGAACCTTCAATATTATTTACGAGGCTTATATGTACGCTATATGATCTTTAGAGTACGGTAAGTGAGCTGTCTCCGGATCAATAGATCATACTAATGATACACTAGTTGTTATTCTAATGTCAGTTGTTAGAGTCAGAATTACATTTTCACTGCGTGTGGATGTGCCAGATTACCAAGTGCAACCGTGCAACTATCTTGTTACGGATGTTTTTTTTTTATTTTTCATCAGGATATGAATGTGATGCGTGCTGGAATTTCCTTGTGATGTCGTACCCATTTATCATCTGTTATATTTTTTGTTGGAACACTATATAAAAGTATTAGAGAACTGTCAAAAACTAACGAGGAACTAAGTATTTGTACGAGTTCTTCCCTTACTACCAACCAAGTTTTACAATGTTAAAAATGTTATTTTTTTAATCTATGTACCAAATTTGTGTATATCCAATCCAAAACATTCTTGAATAACTAATTTCCGGTATATACCCAATACATATACTCCCGAGCTACTTACTAATTTAATCTATGGCCAATCGCCAAACGCTCAGAAAAGATTTCCACAATTTATTTAACTGTGAAGCTGCATAGTTTTAACAAACAGCCTTTGAAAGGCCTGTCTTTGTTTTCGGATCGCATTTTATTCTCCTTCTTTCAATGTCAATATGGAGAGAGACTAGATTTAAATTCCTAACCTCTAAAACTAAAACTAAAATTTTGCTGATAGTGGAGTAGTAGTGAATAGTGATAACAACAAATTAGTTTAGTAGTACTGTAAGTTATAGTATAATGTCATTCAATGTGTACAAATTGTTTTTTTAAATAGTTAAAGCTTCGACAATTGTTTAACAGTAACATTACCGATACGGCGTCGGCTATACACAAAGTCAAAGTGTTTGTAGATTGTAGACCTACCTGCTACAAACCTCAAACTGATGTATGCTAGACCTAGGCCTAAAAAGTTGTAAGTTGATTTTAATATATGGGCTATTGGATCTCTATACAATTATTTTTCAACCAACTATGTTATATTAATAATTCAGGCCTACTCTTCAAACAATTTTAGATTTTAATATCAAGTGCAATGCTTGAACATTCTACTAGGCCTAACTCAGGCCTAATCTTAAGTTATCTATTTCCATTTCCCTTTGAGCCTCAGAAATTATTCTCCGGTTTGATTATGCATAGGGCTATTAATTTTTATCTTGTAGTTTTCTCAACGTTTGACATGAATCCCATCTTTAACAAG